AAGAAATATATATATATATATATATATAAAAGGAAGAGTATGTCTGTGAGTGTCTTTCGTTCGTGCTGCGGGTAAGCTAAAGACCCAGGGCTACGAAATTTGGTACATAGGTGCATTTAGACAAGAGCCCGTGCACCTTGCAGCGATTTTTTTCAAAATTCAAATGAAATTTTTTAATATATGTTTTTCATGAAGCCGCATTAAATCGATAGTTCTCTCTCATTATATCAGCAACAATGGCATGCAGCCATTGTTGCTGATATATTACTGTTGCTGATATCAGCACTGTTGCCACTCGGAAAAATGAGGGCAATAATTCTGTGCAGTTTTTAAATTATAAAGCTTTTCTTGGATAGTGGACGTTTGTCGAGAGAAAGCAACGGGAAATTGGTTAATTTATTTATTAGGGTAATTAACATTTGTATTAAGGGATATTGCTTATTTCATTGTAATTTTTTATTTGTAATATATTTCTATTGATTTTTTTTTTTTTTTTAGTCCAAAGGGGCTTTGTCCCTGAAGGACTATTGTTTTCGTTTTGCGATTTTGCGTCGGACTCATAAACGTCGGTTCACTTTTCAAACTGTTGCCACAAAATGTTAGAGTCCTGCATTATATTTGAAGAAATTAAATAATGAAAAATATGCATAAATGATTGTCTATTTCTCGCATTGTGATAAAACAATGGTACATAGAGCCATCGAATTTTGAATGACGAAATCCTACTGCGAATATGGGCATCTGAAATCCCAAATTTGGAATTTGTTTTTATTATAGATTTTATATTTTGTAAAACTTTAACGAATTTTTGATTTACAAACTCAATGCTTTAAAAGCGAGAAATGGCAACGTTATATAGAAAAAAAATACTTTTATCTCCAGCTCGCGAGACTGTGTATATCGGAAATTTTAAAGATATGCTTAAAATTTAACATTATTTTGCGATATTGCTCTTGAACTGAATTTTATGGTTTAAGTGCAAAGAACATGATATTTAATAAATAAAGGTAACACTCAAAACGTTAAAAAAACGCCCCTTTGGACGTAATTTAAAATCTGAAACATTTCAGATTTTTTTGAGTTTTTTTTTTTTTTTTTTTTATAAAGCTGTTCCGCAGAGTAAAATTCTGTGCAGTTTTTAAATTTAATGTTTGGTGTTTCCTTTAGGCATTTTCCCGGTACATTTAAAAGCCAGACAAAGGCGGTTAATATAAAAATAAATGTAATAGTAATCGCCAGATGGCAACACAATATTTGCCAAAAATTGTCTCGGAATGTTTCAGTTCAGCACTTACTAAAACGAGGGAAGGTTTTTGAGGGAGAGAAAAAATTTCAGCCACGAAAATTTAACTTTCCTTTTTTCTCTCCTTCTCTCCCCCCCCCCCTTTATTTATTTTATTTTTTATTTATTTATTTATTTATTTATTTTATTTTTTTTTTTTTGGATAGGTGTTAAGCATTATGGAAGTTTTTCAAGGAAGTGCATAACTACTCATTCTAATTTATCTCCAATAATACTACAATTTATCAATTTATAATCAAAGTGATTTTCATTCCCAAATAAAAAAACTGCCGATTCACTTGTGTCGGAAAACTCTTTTGCTTTCAAATACAGTAAGACCCCGCTTAACGCTGTTTCGTTTAGCGCTGTTTCGGTTTAGCGCTCTTTTATTTCAACCCGGGGATTCCACGAAATCGCTCGCAGCATACGGGGATTCTCCGAAATATTATGCAGCAATAGGTTTCAAATACATATCCGAAAGAGTGTACTTGTATTTCTTGTTTGGTGCGGTATTGTACAGACATATTTTGAAGGGGTAAATGTGGAAGATGTCGAAGAAATAATTCAAGAAGCAGCGGCTAGTCTTTCAATGATGAGCTCAAGGAATTAACTGAACAAGAAGAAAACAAAAATGTTGACAGCAGTGATCCAGAAGAAGAGCAAAAAGAACTTTCGATGGCGTTTGTAAAAAGGAGTTTGTCTACCATAACTGAAATAATGGATCAATTCATTGAAAATGATCCGAATTTTGACAGGAGCTCAAAAGTAAGGCGTGGGTGTTAGAGATGTTCTATCCGTTTTATGAAGAACTTTTAAGAGAACAACGCAAAAGAAAAAGGCAAACAACATTAGATGCTTTTGTCACAAAAAGGCAGAACACTGAAAACGCGGAAGGCTAACTAAATATGACTGACTTAGAATTTTATTTGTTTTTTTAAGAATATTCGTTTTGTTATTTATATTTTGTTTTTATTTTTGCAAGAAATAATAATGTGGTATTAATTTGGGCTTTAAGAAATAAATGTTTGGTTTATTTTTTATTAAAAAAACATACTTTTTAAATTTAATACCTAACCAATTTCCTAGCCATCTTCCCCTAACCCCAATATTTACATGTAAAGATAGCCTCGTTTAGCGCTGTTTCGCATTACGCTCTACTTTGATGGAACGTATCCCCCGCGTTAAGCGGGGTCTTACTGTATCTCCCCTTTTACTTCCTTGCACGAAGTAAAGGAAGTATTGCAATCACGAAAAATTCAAGGTAACGTATTTCAGGTATCCGGACATAATCCCGACAGCCGAAATCCCGACAAGCCAGAATCCCGACATACGGAATCCCGACAAGCCAAAATCCCGACAGGGTCGAAATCCCGACAAACCAAAATCCCGACAGGGTCGAAATCCCGATTGTCCAATATCCCGACAGGGTCAAAATACCGACACGGGCGAAATCCCAATAAGGCCTAATGACCCCTCAACATACTTCCACAGCTGCAACTAGTATATGCTTTGATGACTAGCAAATCTGAAGAAAATTACAAAAGATTATTCCAAGATTTAGTTGATTTCGCTGAAGAAAATAATATTGAACTGAGGCCATCTAGAATCATTAGTGATCTAGAAAAGGCAGCTATAAATGCTCCGCGCACTCAAAATGCTGTCGAGGATTGGGCACAGAAGATGGGAAACCTTAATTGGACGGGCCATGTTGGCGTTTATAACATCATAGAAGGATTTTCAAAAAGAACAGGAGCATGTGGAATACCAAGTTGAATGCATTTTTTCGCGGAGAACAACAACCAAAACGTAGGAAGGTAGATGATGACAGAGAAGGAGAATTATGACTATTGCGGACGATCGTGATAATCGACCTGTGATGGAACATCTTCGTGCTATTGCTCACAATGTGTCACTGTAAATATGTCTTTTGCATGTGTAAGTGATGTTTTCTTTTTCTTAATAAAAAGAATTTTATAAATCTTCATTTCAAATTTTAACGGTCATTTCAATTTGTTAAAAAATTATTTAAGTAATGACATAATTTTTATGATTTTTTGATTTAAACTTTTAATTAGTAATATGTAATAGTTAGTTAAAAATTGTATTTTATTAAGCTAAATTGAGTGTTTGTATTTAGATATTAACTTGTCGGGATTTTGGACAGTCGGGATTTCGACCCTGTCGGGATTCTGGACACTCGGGATTCTGGCTTGTCGGGATTTTGACCGTGTCGGGATTTCGGCCCTGTCGGGGTTTTGGACAGTCGGGATTCTGGCTTGTCGGGATTTCGGCTGTCGGGATTATGACCCAGACCCCGTATTTCAACGAAAATATTCATTTTTAACGAAATCGAACGCAATTTAACGCTGATTTTGCTTAACATCTGTATGTAAGGACAGAATAAAGGACTCTTTTTCCCCAAAAAATTATAAAACTGATTGAAAATGAATTCTAAGGACACTTTTTTTCAGGGCGTCTGTACATGCTTACGCACGTATCTCGCCTAACTCAAAAACGAGTAGCCTCAGAACGGGGAAATTTTGTATGTAGGATTGCTGTAATATGTAGTTGTGCACCTCCCTTATCGGTTGCACAATATAAATATATGTATACCCATTCTGTTACTCGGCTCAGTGGGTTCAGTTTTTTATTCTTATATGTTGGCAAATTGCGCATTTTATGCTTTAAAACTGGTTGAATTAGTATGCTGTTCTACTTCCGGTTAAGGTTTTTATGCCTATAGTTAACCTGCATGCAATAATTATAGAATATTCAACAATTTAACACTTTGACTGCCATGGCTATCATATGTGATATCCAGTGATATTTCCGTTGAGACACTGGCTATCCGATATGATAGCCATGGTGTTTCAACACTTCAGGCCATGGCTATCAAATATGTTATCAGTTACAGGAAAATCGTATTGGAGCTTGATTGTTGGGCGCCCTACGATGTGTTAGGTATACGTGGTTTGCGCAAATTGGTATATGTGACGATTTTATGAGCTAAGTTTTATGAAAAATTAAATATTTGGAACTTGCAACAAAAAAGGGAATATATATAAATAGAGAGAGAGTATGTGATAAATATATATAAAATATATGATAAATACATATATTGCAATTTGTGAAAGTAAAAAGAATATAAATACATACATCATGTTATTGCCTTTATTTCAGGATAAAGTTACATTCAGTGTTTAGCATTGAAGCAATTACGACACATTTGAGGCTGGTCAGGACAATTGTCACAGTATGTGGAAATTAGCTTTGCTTTTTTTCTGGCTTGTTCACGACCCTCTGTCTTAGAAATATTGATATATAGCATATATGTCATTTACGTCGTACCTTTTTACCATTTTCATGGATCCTATCAATCAGGTGGTGCGTTTTTTTACTTGTTTGCTCATTACGATCAGGATCTATAGCCATACCGAGCAACTGGAAAACTAATCTCTCTCTAAATTTACAAATTTTCATTTTGGATTTTGTTACATGTCGATATACAACCCATGCGTTAACTACTGCAACGCCTAACAACAATTCTAATCCTAGTTTTCTGTACCACTTAACACCTTTCCTTAGTGTTGTGGCATAAGCCCCCATCTGATCTGACAAATCTATGCCAGCTTTGCCTTTATTGTATGCCAATATGGCTTCAGGTTTTTCTAAAGCCCTTCGATATTGTCTATTTGTTTTTGTGCTGGTAGATGGTTGTTCAGATAATAAGTTGGTTGAGGGTATGACTGCAAATTGATTTGCGCTGGTTGATGGCATGCTTTGTAGAAGGCTTTGGCTTGTTGAAGTAGTTGCAGCATGTTGATTTGTATTTTTCCCTTTGCTCCATTTGCAATGCTCGTTTTTTCCTAGGTGCAACTGGAACAAATATAGGTGCATGTTTTGTGCTCAATATCCGAACATCACGGGTGTCCTTCCATTTTAACACAACAATGCCATTCTCGTCTTCTCTGGAAATCATTTCTCCTTTCTTTAAGTTTGCTTGGAGGACTTCCTTTGGGATATCTCTTTTATTTGCTCTTAGTGTTCCAACAACATGCGTTTTTTTATCTAGCAAACACTTTGCCAAATCATAACTAGTATAAAAATTGTCTATATAGAGAGTTCTGCCTTGATTGAGAAGTAATTCCGCTAGTTCCAAACACACACTTTTTGCTAATCCGGTTTCACGCTCTCCAGATGCAGACTTTCCAGTATAGACTTTAAGACCCCATGTATATCCATCAACTGAACACAGCTTGAACAGTTTGACTCCATAACGATGGGATTTATTTGGAATATATTGCCTGAAAATTAGGCGCCCTCTCCATGGAACAAGAGTTTCATCTATAACGAAATCTTCTCCCGGGTAAAATAGGGCTTTGAACTTTTGTTGTAGCATGTCAACTAGGTGCTGTATTTTTCGCAGCCTGTTACTGGTATCGCTCGTTTCATGTTATCAAAATGAAGCATAGTTAGTAATATCTGAAAACGATTTCGTGACATTATCGCACGTGGAATTGTCATGTTGTAGACTCCATTTTGTGACCAATAGTCTTCCAAACGACCTAGTGGTACCAAACCCATCCACATCATCAATCCTAAGAATTTTTTCATTTCTTCATGATTTGTTTCATTCCACCGATTTATCCTGGAATGCTTCAATTTTGGTTGTGATGAAATAATTTGCCCTGCATATCTGTTTGTTTCAACAACAATGTGGTTAATGATCTCTTCATCAACAAGTAGTAAAAATATATCCAATGGTGTGCTTTGTTTGTGAAATGTCTGATTGCAAACCATGCTTTCCGATAAACTCAAACACTTTTTGTCTGCCCACATATTCTGTCCATCCATCGGTGGTGATTATATTATTCTCCTGGTCATAACTGTCGGGTAGGTCTGTCAAATCCTCAAATTCTTCTTCATCAGATACCACAGCTTGAATAACGTCTTCAATAACATTATCAATATCATCGTCCATATCAGTTTCGTCAGATGAGCTTTCAGGGGAATATGCAGGATCCGCGTCAGAATCAAATAAATCAAAGTCTTCATCATCCCATGAATCATAGCATCTCATAGCCGCAGCTTCAATTTCTTCCAAAGTTAACTTTCTCTTGCTCATTGTAAATAAAAATTCAAATAATTCTAACCTAAACAAAATAATAGAAATAAAATCATATAAATAAAATAATAAAAAAAACCTGAAACTATAATCTTTTAAGCTCATTCTTTCATATATTTGAATTTAAGATATTCTACTACAGAAACATAAATCTAAATAAAAAAGTTTATTGATAAATGACGAATTTAGCTGGCTATCAAATAAGATAGCCATGGCCACGCATGGAAGAATTTACACTAACTTTCGTGGTGTGCTTTGGCTATCATTTTTGGTAGCCAGGATGAAAATCTCCCCATGTGTTACAAAATGAGTCAGATTGAAAAATATTGTTTTTATATATAGTTTTATGTTGAAAAAAATACAAATTACACAAAAAAAAAAAAAAAAAAAGTTTGGCCCCGTGGTGAACATTTTCAATTTTGGCTTGGCAGTCAAAGTGTTAAAAGTTGTTGTGCGGCTAAGCCTAATTTTTGTTTATGATAGGAGCCATATTTGTTTATATTTGAAACTTAGCAGAATAGTGAATTTGTTGCCAATCTAGAAAAACTAAGCTTCGCAACAACAAAGGTAATGTCTTCTTTTATTATTGAAAATTAAATCATGCTTATTCTATTCTGGAATTAACATTTATGTTATTAAATTATCCCATATATTGACTCAGCATACTGCCCCGATCGTTTGTGGAACAAATTAAATCCGTTTCTACGCCTTCAGTGTCTTTTTGCCGAGTGAGACCAAAAGCAAACTTTCAGGTTTGTGCACCGAAAAATCTGCCTTCTTGCCCGCTGGCCTAATTGCTTGCTTTTTTGTAGAAACTCTAATTTTAATTGTAAAAGTTGTTTTTTAAATTATTTAAACTGTATTTATGGTTTATATTTTTCCATTTTTAATAAAAAATTTTGAGGTTTTATATATTTTTGCTTTGTCACGAAGTGAGAACTGAATTAATTGAATGATAAATATATCTCTAATTGAAATTGAAGGAAATAAGTTTAAATGAAATGCAGGAAAAAATGCGCATAATTTAATATTACGTACAAGGAAGTCATGTGATGTACACATCAGACTTTATTATGTTGCATTCGTGTTTGACTGAACGATACGCTCAGTTTCGGCTTCCTGGGCAAATCCCTACCCCAATGTAACTCGTGATCATATTTCGAGAGGAAAATATACAGCATGCTTGAAGAAATAATTCAAGAAGTTAGGAGCAAGTCTACAAGTTGTTATCAAGAAGCTGATTGGTGGAGAAATGTGAATTTGTAAGACTAGGTCTTGGTTGGTGAAAGGGGAAAAAAGATTCTTTTCAAGTCTTCCTAGAACTTCAAAATACTACATATTCTTATGAACTTTTTTATAAGATGCCAGACAAATTGTTAAGAGATAGCTAAATTGCAAAAGGGAAAGTTCTGAATAAATAAGCTAATTTAAACAAGAGAGTGGGGTTTATGAAGAGCTTGAACTTACTTTCTGCTATTCTAAGTTGAGGGAAACTTAGCTTATTGATGATTCTAGGGAGATTTTCCTTGCCAAAAAGTCATCAGTTTCTCTAAGGAGTAGTATTAATTCAAGTAACGAAAAACTTTTTTTTTTTTTTTTTTTTTTTTTTTTTTTTTTTCCCCCATGCTCCTTCTTAGGCATTACAGGGAAAGGCTGGGATTCCCCGTGAATGTCTTTTTAAGGGAAACTAGCTCATATCCACGTTTTACATGGGAAAAGCCATGAAACCATCCGTACAGTCAGTCTGTTTGCTGGGACTTGAACTGTTGGTGTTTGGGGTCAATTTTGGTTTAGCGTATCTACGTAGTATTTACGTACAAAATTAATGTAATTTAAAAGGTCAGTAGCAGGTGGACCATGGAGATGGATTTTCATCATTGGATATCTGTTGTTCTATAGGGTTGTGTGGGTTTTCCTTAGGTGCATTTTCCTTTGAAAATTTCGGGAAGTATTTTTATTTTTTGGAAATTTCGAACATTCACGATGTGAACGCAGATGAGGAGCCCAAACAGTTGCCCTATTTTGATTTTTCTAATCTACCTTTATTGAGGACACGGGTCTATTTCTGCTTACCGGCACATTTAAGGCACTTAATTGTAACATAAAAGTTTTCTGACCAGAGGTTAAATTTTTGAGAGTTATGATACTGTGCTACAGTATTTTTAATGATGCATTTCTCTGTTTTTACATTTTTTTCTCTTTCTATATTTCTTTCTTTGAAGAAGCTCTTTATATCTGTTTGTGTAAGTTGGGTTACTTTGTGAATTAAGTGCCCTAGATTAGCGACAGCTGTGACGATTTCTTCCTTTGGGAGCTTTTATCAGTATAGCCGTTTACCATGGATACCTACTTTAACTATATAGCACGAATAACTATCTTAACTGTTTTTTTATGTTTGTGGATTAAATGTTCAATGTTACCGGCATTCAAGATATTTAGTAATTCTGATCGTGCTTCTTAACTTGAGGATAGAACTT